GCTTTCTTTCTTTGCAGTACCTGGAATCAAACTCAGGAGCTTGTGCTGTAAGGCAGGTGTGGAGCCACTGAGCTAAATCCCAGCCCTGTGCTTTCTTATTTGAGTCACCGGCTCTGTCACAGAGATCTTGTGGCCATTAAGATGGGAGTAAGGGTTTAAGAGTGGAAATGTGGAGAATCAGACAAGAGACATTAAAATAGGTGATGACTTAGGTTTAGGATGGTGACAGTGGCAAGAAAAAGGGGTGATCAGATTCATGAAATGGTCTGTGAGGTTGCTGCTAAAATTCTTTTTAAAGGAAAGCTCCTGTTTTCCTTCTTCTTCCTCCTTTTCTACTGCTTCTCCTTTTTCTGAGATCCAGACCTTACTAGAGGTTTTTATGCAATGCTATGGTGCAGTGTCACAGAACAGTGTCACATTTATGCAGTGGGTGTTTCATAAATTCCTGCAATGTTTATTATTTCTTTCTTAAAGAAAATTTCTAAGCCCCTACTGTATACAATGTTGTGCTGAAGAGGGTTGTTAGATGTAGTCTAGAATTGAGTTCATGTCAAGATAGTCAGAAATGATTTTTTTTTTCAAGATACAGCACCATAGCCAAGTTGTTTATAGGTATAAATAATTAAGAATACATGATTTAGAGCAGGAGTCTGAGGTGGGAGGATCATTTGAACCCAGGAGTTTGAGACCAACCTAGGCAACATAGTAAGACCTTGTCTTAAGAAAGAAAGGAAGGAAAAATGGACAACCCAAGGCCTCACACATGCTAGGCAAAGTGCTTTTCTACTGAGCCACATCCTCACCCCAAGGCCATCATTTTCAGATGGGACTAGTCATCAGAAATTCTATAGACAGTTTTAAAAAATACAAAATCTAGCCCTACTGAAACATAATAGCTTATAAGTAGGTACCAGACATCTGTATCTTTTTTTTTTTTTTTGGTACCAGGGATTGAACTCAGGCTCTTGTGCTTGTGAGGCAGGTGGCGGAACCACTCAGCCAAATCCCCGACCCTTAGATATCTGTATCTGTAAAAACTAAACATTGCAGGATAATCACTCAGGTTTAGGGATCATAGCTTTATCATGTTAAGACAAATTTTACTCTTTTAAAAAAAATTTTTTTTGTAGCAAATGTTGGCGGAGATGTGGGGGGAAAGGAACCCTTTTCCATTGTTGGTGGGAGTACAGACTGGTGCAACCACTGTGGAAATCAATATGCAGATACCTCAAAGAACTAGGACTAGAGGTTCCATTTGACCCAGCCATCCCTCTACTGGGTATCTTTCCAACAGAATTGAAAGAATCATACCACAGTGATATATACACACCCATGTTTATAGCAGCATAACTTGTAATAGCTAAAACCTGGAAACAGCCCATTTGCCCATCAGTTGGAGACTGGATAAAGAAGATGTGGTTTTTCTATAAAATGGAATACTACTCAGCCATAAAGAATGACAAATTAGAGTCATTCATAGGAAAATGGATGCATAATTGAGGCCATACTCTTAAGTGAAATAAATAAGTCACACATGTGTAAATACCAAATAGTTTCTCTGGTATGAAAAACTATAATTGTAAATAAGATCCTAATGGTATAATTGACAATGTGTAATAGGAAAAAAAGGGCTAAAGGTGTAGGGGAAGTGGGAAAGGTAGGGGAAAGGAATTAAGGGAAAAGAAAAAGTATGAGAAAATGGAAATAAAATTTTAGTAAATAGGGAAAAAATGAGAACCAAGACCTGTCATAAAAAGGTACAAGAGCCCAATGATGAATATAACTGTACTGTATACCTAAAATATACCAATAAACTCAAGGAGGAAAAAAAAATTTTTTAATGGTATCAGCAGTTGAACTCAGGGCCTTGCACTTGACAAGCAGGTGCTGTGCCATTGAGTGACATCCCTAGCCCAAAGACAAATTTTACTCTTTACCAAGAGAGTTCATTCTTCTTTCTTTCTTTCTTTTTTTTGTCCCGGGGATCGAACTCAGGACCTTGTGCTTGTGATGCAGGTGGTGGAGCCACTGAACTAAATCCCCAGCCCTCATTCTTCGTTCTTAACGAATGGGATCTGTTATAAGTGAATATTTTAATTTCTCACCTTAATTAAAAATATAGAAAATTTTTAAAAATAAAAATTTTGGAGCTGGAGGTATATAGCTCAGTGGTAGTGCATTTGCTTAGCAGGCAAGAGGCCCAGGATTTGGGAAAAAAGTGAAATATCTCATCTTTGAAACAGGTTTTATAAAATTGTAGTTTGGTGAAGTAGGTATATTTCATTAATTGTTTCTCTTAACCTGTGACTATTTTGTAATTATACAGCTTTCATTTTATCTGTTCTTGATATTACAAGAATGCAACCCCCTGAACTTCAGCTCGAAGCACGTTGGTATAGAAACAACTAGATCACTGCTTTTCAGATTTAATATGCATGCAGATCATCTGGAGAACTTGTTAAAAGGAGGCTTTGATTTTGTAGGTTTGGGATGGGGCTGAGATTCAGTCTGTGTTAAACTCTGGATGGTGCTGATGCTGCTGGCCTGTAGATCTCATTTTAAGGGTAAGAAATGAGGTGATGAGCATCCTCAGCACTTTCTTTCTGGGGTTACTCTGCTTTGGGGCATTTTGGGGTTGCTCAATTTGACCACAGATTGAGTGATACATTTTGAGAAGATTGGATTATATAACCTTTTCTTGTTTTCTCCCATATTCTGAAAAGGTTATATAGTACTATATATAGCTTCAGGTTTGTAGTTTAGGGCTTTTCAAATGTATTAAAAAAGAGACATGTCAGAAGCAGTATAATTTTTATTGAATCATAAAATCTGCAGTAAAATTGATTTATCTGCTTGTGATAATCTGAACTAAAAGTAGAATATTAATAATGAATTGGGGCTGGGGGTATTATAGCTCAGTGGTATAGTACTTGCCTAGCATGTGTGAGAACTGTCTCTTTGATTACCTATACTATAAGGAAAAGAAAGGGGGGTGATCATGTTGAAATTTATTATTAGATATGTTGGATATACCTAAGGTTGGAGAATTTGTTTTACAGGAGTGAGAATTATTTTGGATAAAGATAATGTATGCTAGAGCAGTGATTGTTTTCATTTGACTGATTGGTTTTTGAGATGGGGTCTCATTTTATAGTTCAGGTTGGCTTTGAACTCACTATGTAGCCCAGGCTGGCCTTGAATTCACAGTGATTTTCCTGCCTCAGTGGTAGTATTACAGGCGTGTGCCATCACACCTAGCTTATAGCAGTGATTCTTAGATGGGGGTGATTTTGCTTTTCATATTTAGTTGTCACAGTAGGTGGGGTGACAGTGGTGCTGCTGAATATGCTACATGCACAGGACAACTCTCCATAATGAAGAATTATTTGGCAGAAAAGATTAGTAGTGCCAATGTTGAGAAAAGCCCTATGGGAGAGAATTTTCACAAGTACTTGGTTATTTTACTTTTAATTTAAAATAGTACCAAACCAGGTATGGTGGCATATGCCTTATTAACTTAGCTCAGGAAACTGAGCAGGAAGATTGAAAATTTAAGGCTGATCTGGGCAACTTAGCGAGACCCTATCTCAAAATAAAATTTAAAAAGGGCTTGGGGTATGTGGCTCAGTGATAAGAGCATTTGCCTAGCCTGTAGGACACTAGGGCTCAATCCCCAGTAAGGACAAGGGGAGAAAATTACAACTAGAAAACAATCACCAATAGTCTCCCCAGTGAAACTTAACTTTTCTTAACATATACAGTAGTTACATTTGACTTTACTTTTTTGGTTTAAGAAATATCACCCCATTATTCCCATCATTTTGGGGGAAAATATCATTCCCATTATTTTTGAGAAATCAATATGTAAATATTATTTTGAGTTCAAGGTAGAAAGTTCAAAGATGAAAGAATGAAGTTCTCCAAAATCTTTTTTATTTTCAAACTCAGGACCTTGCCCTTGTGAGGCCCCTGGCCCTATCCAAAATTTTAACACCCAGAAATGTCCATTATTAACCATGTGAATATTTCCAGATATCTTTCCATGCATATACATAAAAGCATAGAGAGAAAAGACAGAGAGATACTTTCATAAATGGGACCGTATTTAAGATGTACCAGAAAACCTTTATCTTACAAAAAGTTTATACTTCCAAAAATGAAATAGATATTCCCACTTACTCATCACCTAACTTCAGCAATTATGAATTCATGGCCAGTTTTATTTCATACAACCCTTGTAGGTTCCTCGGTGCCATTAAATCAAGCTAATTGGCTGATTTCTTTCTTTCTCAGAACATTGACCACTCACCTTTTCATGGTCATCATGCCAGCTAATGGGCATCCTTTTGAGATGCTTAGATGATGGCCAGCTTTTGGTGATCCTCAAATCTCTGCTGTAGTCACTTTTCTTTACTTCTAGCCATCTTTTGGTGTCTTAAATTCAAGCATGAACTGTCCCAGCACTTAATTTTGAGTATTTTGAAGCAAATATCAGATATCAAGATATCGCTTCATTTCATGTTAGTATTTCAGTGTTTGTCTCTGAAACATATCCACTGTTTGAGTCATTTGCATAATTACCAATGTCATAATTAATTCTCTCCTCTCCTCCATCTCCCATCTTCTGCCTCTTTCCCTCCCTCCCTTCGATTTGTTTTCTTCCACATTGAGGTTTTTGGTTTTTGGTTTGTTTTTTGTTTTTTTGTTTTCTTTGGTACTGGGGATTGAACTCAGGACCTTGCACTTGCAAAGCAGGCACTGTGCCATTGAGCTAAATCCCCAGCCCCACATTAAGTATTTTAATGAAAGAGCACTAATACCACAAAAGAAAATAGATGCTATAAAGCCAAAATAAAAAGCTATCTGTCACAGGTGTTTTTGCAAATTTTACTTTTCTATAATATTTTAATTCATTTGGATGTGCCATGTAAACTAATGAAATATTCATTTCTCATTTTTACTACATCTGGGTTTTAGATGGCCTTCCTCATTTTTTCCAGTGTTTCTTGGAGTAACTTCGTGCTTTGCTGAGCAGTGACCTCTAGGAACTGTAGGAGCAACCCTGCCGGCATCATGTACTTAAATGTTGGAGAACTTTGAAGGGCCAAGGCATCTCACCATCTTTCTACCAATACTGTGAGCGAAGCCTCAATATTTATGAGCTGCCTGCTAGTAATCTCGAGGGCCTCATATCTTAATATCAATTGGTATATCAGCAGACACAATTGCATTTAGAAATTATTTGCAACAAAACCATTTATAACAAATATCTGCTCATGTATCTCTAAGATGTTAATTAATATTTTTATGCCTGAACCCCTGTATGTGGTTCCATATAAGAAGGTAAACTAGAGAATTCTGCTTTCCTTGGTCATATGCTCTTATGTTTTTGTTATATTTGTTTATAGGATGCCATAATATTTCAGTTTACCTGATACAGCCTCTGGTTTTGTACAGTTTTAATGAAATTATTTACAATACCCTCTTTTCCCTCACAGAATCGCCCCAGTTTGAATGGTTAAACTAAATGCTAATTTACCTATGTAGCATTTAATGTACACCAGACTCTCCTTAATACAGTACTCTGGGGCTGGGGATTTGGCTCAGTGGTTCCAGTGCCTGCCTCGCAAGCACAAGGACCCGAGTTCAATCCCAGGTACCAAAAACAAAAATAACCCCCCCCCAAAAAAAAACAGTACTCTACATGCATTCTCACTTAATATTCATGACAAACTTAAGCAGATCCTATTGTTATTCCCATTTTACGTATGAGGAAGTCAAGGCACTAGTTAAAGAACTTGACTAAAATTATGCAGCTGTATTTGAGTAGTAAATGGCAGAGGCAGAATTTGAAGGTGGGCAGTTGGGACCAATTCCCCTACCCACTCTGCCATGCTGCTTCTGTGATGGTCCCCAAAATATCTACCTTCATGGAGTGTGTACCTGCTGACTTAGAAGAACTCTTCTTACGTAATTAATCTGCATGTTTTTAGATCAGAAATTTGGCTAAGGTTTTGGAATTTGAAGAGGTTTTCTTTGTTTTCACAAAATCATTGTAGGGTTTGCAAGTACTATTTATTACCCAATTGCTGGCTTCTTTCTTTTGTGAGATATTGAAAATGCATCTTTCTCCTGCTCATTATGCCAGCCTTTTGCATTCTGTCCAAATAATCAGGTGATCACCAGCTTTTAACAATTCTCAAGTTTCTGCTGTAGCTACTTTTTCTTATTTCTGCCATCTTTGGTATTTTAAATCCAGGCAAAGCCCCAGCACTGAGAACACCACCTGCCATTATAGCAGGCACATGCAGAATTTTTCATTGCCTTGGGTCAGTTCGTTTTTTGTCTGGGGACCATGTTCAAGGTCCTTTCATAAAGTCTTCAAGGAAGAAGTTATCTCACACATCTAGTATCTTTCAAGTGCCTCACAACTTAGTAAGGGCATAATGAATGTAAACTAAAACCATAGTAACAGGCAACTCAGCTGCAGGAGAAAGTCACTTAAGAGTTCAGAGAAAACAAATTGTTTCCAGCAGGACTGATTCAGAGGAGTTTTATGTAGGTGGTGGCACTTAAGTTAGTTAATAACTTGTAAATTGGCTAAAAAGTTGCCACCTCCTGTTCAAAGACAGGCCTTCCATTTGCCCAGGGCAGAAGCTCAGCACAAATTTAAGACTTGATCCTTCTCCAGGAGAAGAGGATTTGATCAGGTTGGCACTGGTCCTCTGTAAGAAATCCTCAGCCAGCCAGAAATCCTACTTGGCTTTTAGGATGTCATCATTGTCCTTGGGGCACATTCTGACCCTCTAGGGGTGCTAGAGCAGCGGGAATAGATGGAACTCTCTACAGCAGCTGGCCTCTTAAGGTTGATTGATAGCCAGGAGGTTGTTCTTCTTAATAAAAACATTACATGCCTTTATGACAGTGTAATTACATTTGCTTTTTTTTACTCTTTTACTTGTTATCATAAGAAAGAATGATTACATTTGAATAGAACTCATCACAGTAGTCTGGTAAGATAAGGTAATATTCTGTCTTAAGTGGTAAGATGAAATGAAAATTAGATTGAACTATGAGCATAATTTAAAGCCAGGGTGTTGTTCTACCTGCTAGGAAAGTGCTGTACCACTGAACTACACACCCAACCCTAGAACAGTGTAATTGAGACTTTTATGCTGGTCTTCAGAATTAAATTCCAGTTATCTATCACTTGGCCTTATTTTATTTTATTTTTTTCACTGTGGTATGATTCTTTTAATTCTTTTGGAAAGATACCCAGCAGAAGGATAGCTGGGTCAAATGGGACTTCTAATTCTAATTCTTTGAGTTATCTCCACATTGATTTCAATAGTGGCTGCACCAGTCTGCACTCCCACCAACAATGGAGAAAGGTCCTTTTCTCCCCACAGCCCCGCCTGCATTTGTTATTGGTTGATTTCTTGATATCAGTCATTCTTTCTGGGGTAAGTGGAATCTCAGTGTTGTTTTCATCTGCATATCTCCAATGACCAGTGATGTTGAACATTTTTTCATATATTATTTGCTGCTTGTACTTGTTTGTCTGAGAAATGTCTGTTTATTTCAAAGATGCCTATTTTTGAGTCAGGTCTTTGTATTTGAGGGGTCTGGTTTTTTTTTTTTTTTTTGAGTTCTTTATATCTAGATAGAAGTCCTTTGAGGAGTAGCTGGTAAAAATTTTTTCCCGTATTGTAGGTTGTCTCTTAGTTCTGTTGGTGGTTTCTCTTGCACTGCAAGAACTTTTTAGTACAATGAGATCCTAGTTGTTGATTCTTTGTGCAAGTTCTCGTGCTGCTGAGGATTTGTTCATAAAGTCTTCTGCTATGTCATTGTCTTTGAGAGTTCTACCTAGTTTTAGTTTTCAGTAAGTTTAGTGTTTCTGTTTTGATATTTAGATCTTTAATCCACTTGGATTTTAGTTTAGTGCATGTTGAAAGATAGAGATCTAGGGGCCGGGGATTTAGCTCAGCAGTTTGGTGGCCTGCCTTGCAAGCGCAAGGACCGGAGTTCAATCCCCGGTACCAAAAAAAAAAAAAAGAAAGATAGAGATCTAATTTTAATCTTTGGCAAGTTGAAAGCCAGTTTTCCCAACACCATTTATTAAAGAGGCTGTCTTTCCTCCAGTGAGGACGGTTGGCTCCTTTGTCAAGGATGAGGTAGCTAAGTACGTCTGGTGTTGTTTGTGCATCTCACGTTATAACCTCTTTTTAATGAATGTCACTATAAAATCTAATTTAACTTGGTCTAATTTAACTTTTCTCCATTGACAGCCCTCTCACCCCCAAGCAGATGACTGTGGATATGCTAATATCTACTGAAAGGAAAATCTTCCAGGGGATGTAAGTGGCCTATATTGACCCTTTGTCCAGATTAGAAAAAGGAGGCCCCTCTGGGTGGCCCAGGTTTTGCCTGTAGGTGATCAGTCATTAAGAGGCTCACCTGCTAGGAGGTGGCTCAGCCTCACTCCAGGATGCCAGGATGCCAGGACATAGGGCTTGTAGAATGGGTATCTGCCATTTGGCCTCTACTCTGCTTTCTTCCGTAGTAATTGCTCAAAAGGCAGCAGCCATGAATCTTGCTTATATTCATTTATTTATGAAAAGCCAGGGTTCCTTTAGTGTTGTGTTTTGAGCCAGGACTTCTTGTTCTTCCGCATACCACTTACACAGCAGCCTAAGCAGCTTTGCACGTATCCCCTCCACCTGGAACCTGAACCCTTCCTCCCTGCACTCTGCTCATACCTTCCCTTCCTCCCAGTCTATGCAGTAATAGCTTCCCCCAGCCCTCATTACCTCCAGCTAGGACAGTTCCATCTTTTTCTGTCTGTTTCCCTGCTATATTTCTCCACAGTACTTCTTACTGCTTGGAATATAATTTATATAATTTTAATTTTATTTTGTTTTTATAACTCACTGGAAAGTATACTTTGAAAACAGCAATTTTGCCTATTTTATTCATTGTTGAATACCATTGCCTAGAAAAATACCTAGCAAATGGAAAGTTCTCAGCACTAATTGAGTGAATGAACTTAATGGTGGATTGCAATTGATAGTAGAACTTACCAGTTTTGGCTAGGGCTCAGTGGTACCTGCCTTGCAAGCATAAGGTCCTGAGTTTGATCTCCGAAACAAAAAGAAAAGGAAAAGAAAGAAAAGAAATTACTAGTTTTAACATTTGTCACATTGGGCTGGGTGAAGCTCATGTGCTTTGCATCTACGAGGTCAGGCTTCAGTGTCCAGCATCAAAAGGATGGGGGGAGGAGAAAGAAGTCGTGACTATTTATGAATACTTAGTGTGCCATAATATTATGAATGTTGTGTAGTTGAGTCTTCATGAAAGCTATATGATTGAAGCAATCTGAAAGCTAAGAAGTTAAGTGCCTATCTAGTAATTAGAATCATTCCTGGGCTGGGGATTTGGCTCAGTGGTGCTGCCACCTGCTTTGCAAGCTCAAGGTCCTGAGTTCAATCCCCAGTACCAAAAAAAAAACCAAAACCAAAAACAAAAACAAAACAAAACAAAAACAAAAAACCAAAACCTCTCCTTGAGAGGTAGAGCAGATAATCAAAATCTGTTTCCTAAAAACTGTCTTAATGATTCTTTGGGTCTTACTGCATTAAAGGCATGGAGAGCAGAGAGACCACCTGGGCAAGCTTTGTGTGAGCAATGAGGCTGTTTTTTTCACCTGAGTAAGAGCTGGCTGAGTCTGAAAGGTTATCAGCATTCAGTGGGAGAACAAAGGCTTTAAAGGGGAGGTGGGTGCAAGGCTTGGTCCAGGAAAGAATTGCTGCCTTGAGGAATGTGAGGGACAGAGGGGGTGGGGGTAGGGTATGCTTTTTGGTGCAGATGTAATCAAGTTTCCTGGACCTGAGGAGTTGGGACATGGTTCTTTGCAACAGCCTAACTCGCCGTGTGTGACACAATTTGATCTTCTCTCCTCTTAATACCTTGTTATAATACCTTCTTACATAAGCCATAGAAAGGCTTATAGTTGAAGCATTGAGTGATTGGTTTAACCAGAAAATGTAATTTAAGACTGATTTATTTAGCCCCAAATAATGAGGTAGATAATAATGATGTAACTGATGATATGAAGAAGAGTTGTGGGAGCTTTAAGA